TATGAAGTCAAATGCGAGATCTTTACTAACCATCAGAGTTTAAAGTATATTTTTACTCAGAAGGATCTGAATTTGAGGAAAAGAAAATGGTTAGAGCTGATCAAGGATTATCACCTATCTATTTAGTATATTCATGGTAAGGCGAATGTGGTAGCAGATGCTTTGAGTAGGAATACTTCAGATACTTCTTTTTCATTGTTTACTTATGTAGTCTTTCTTATTTGAGATTTTATGAAATTGAAAATAGAAGTGGTATTTGTTAATACATATTTGAAATTTTTAACTCAAATGATTATTCAGCTTACTCTACAGGAATGGATTCAAGAAGCTCATAAATCAAATACAGTGTATCTAAAGTTGAATGATTATATTAAGGTTCATAAGAGACCTGAACTATCTTTATTTGATTATGGAATCATTTTCTACAAGGATAGATTATGGGTTCCTTTTGTTGGTGATCTGAGAGCTGAGATCCTACATGAGGCACATTACTAGGGTTGCACTATTCATCCCTGAAGAAATAAGATGTATGAAGATTTGAAAGGTATGTTCTGGTGGCCTGGATTAAAGAAATATAAATCTGACTTTATTTTGAAGTGTGAGGCATGTCAATTACTGAAGGTTGAACTTCAACAACCAGGTGGTCTTCTACAGTCGTTAAATATCCCTGAATGAAAATGGAAGGAGGTAATGATGGGCTTTGCTATAGGTTTTCTTAGATTGAGGAAGGGACATGATGCCATTTGGGTCATTGTTGATTGTTTGATGAAGTCAGTACATTTTATTCTGATATAATAGACTGATCCGATAGACAGATTAGCACATATATATATCAGATACATTATAATATTGTATGGTGTGCCAAAGGTGATTGTATCTGATTGTGATAGATGATTTACCTCCAGATTATGAAGATGCATTCAGAAGGGTCCGGGTATAAAATTACATTTTAGTACAACTTTCATTCATAGAGAGATGGATAGTCCGAAAAATCTATTCAAGTACTGGATGATCTTTTGAGACTGTGTTCTAGACTTTGGCAGTAGTTGGGAGGATCACATCCCACTAATAGAGTTTACATATAACAATAGTTATTAGTCCACTATTATCATGACTCCTTATGAAGCCCTATATAGTATGAAGTGCACTACACCTTTATCTTTGATAGAGGTGGGTGAGAGATAAGTGATAGGATCAACTTTGTGGATGACACTACAACAAACAACTGTTCAGAGAAAGATTGAGAGCTATTCAGGACAGACAAAAGAAGTATTACGATAAAAAACACATGCAGGTGGAATTCCAGGTTGGCAATTTTATTTATGTCAAAGTCAGCCCGATGAAAGGTGTCAGCAGATTTGGAAGAATCAATAAGTTGAGTCCAAGGTACATTGGATCTTTTAAGATTGTTGAGAGGATTGATAGTTCTGCTTACAAGTTATTGTTACCTCAGCATATGTTCGGTATACACAATGTATTTCATGTATCATGTCTAAGGAAATCGATATCTAATTCTGGAAAGATATTATCTACTGATGATGTGGAGGTTCCCCCAAACCTGCACTATAGAGAAGAATCATATAGGATTTTGGCATACAAAGTCAAAAAAATAAGGAGCAAAAAAATTATGATGGTCAAGGTATAGCAGACTGCTAGAGAGGCTACTTGGAAGGGGGGAGAAGTAAGAGAAAAGAGAGGAGAGAGAAGGACAGAAGCTAGTGTTTAGCAACCTAGAGCGATTTTTGTCCGTCAACCCAGTTGAAAAATTTGTTCGACTTAAGGTGGGTTACATTTTGCCTATTTCAAAGTTTAAATGTTATTTAAAAATCCTTTTTCTTCATTTCATGCGAAATAGAGAACATTTTGGGGATAACTAAGAGAAAAGAGAGGAGAGAAAAGCAAAGAAACTAGTGTTTGGCAACCGTAGAGTGACTATTGTTCGTCGGTCCAGTTGAAAAATTTGCTTGTCTCAAGGTAGTTTATCTTTTGCATATTTCAAATTTTAGTAATTTTATATTTTTGATATTTTTTCGATCAAATTTATATTTCTGTTACCGAAAAATGACAATAACTTTGTTTTGGTAAAAGTTTCGCCGCGTAATTTTTTATATGTAATAAAGATTGTGTTTACAAATATTTTGAGAATATTTTAAAAGTTTTTGATGGGTGATTTTGAAAATAAGCTATTTTTGCCTATTCAAAAAAATTTTTTTGACATCTAAAAATAGCACTTTAATTCAATTGAAGCTTCAAAATGATATTTTATACAATTTGTGACAATTTGGTTGTATTTGAGAATTGTGATTTTTTACTCAGTAGTTTTTTTTGTTGTCGATCTACTATTGGGACATTTTAATAATTTTGAATTTTGTCCTATTATGCTTTAATTAATAAAATGCATTGAAAAATATATTGTAAAGTGTTGTGATGTAATAGTAGCGCCCCCTACAATCTTCATATTTTACAAAAATAGAGACAATTGTCCTGAGACGAATGAAAAATATTGTCCGTATGATCTTCACATTTTGCAAAAATAAAGAAGATCGTTCTGTGATGAATGTAAAATATCGTCCGTATGATCTATACTTAGACAATTTTTTGGCATTTTTTTGTTCGCTTCATTGCTCGTTGGGGAATATAACTGACCAAATTGTCCCGTATGAATTCAATTCTTACTGCATGATCAATTTAAAAAAAATGAATTTAGATCTCCCGGGTGTCTGTGTGATCAGTTACTCAATTACAATCACACTCTCTTAGACTCAATAAAATAAAAAATACAGACTTCAAAATATAATAATTCTAAACTGAATTTGATTTGAAGTCTTCAACAATTTGGAGTATGATTTTCTTGAAATGTTAGTACACACAAGAGCAAAATAATTCTTCCAAAATGCGTAGGGGAAAATAATAATTAAAACAATAATATTTGGAATCATAAAAAAATACAAGTTACAAGAATGTAAAACTTGCAAAGCTAAGTAGCAACTCTCTCAACAATCTCTCCCTTGGGCGGTCAAAGTGGGATTGTGTTATACCGGCGCCAGTGTGTGTCCAAGGTGTGATTCTGTTACGCCAAAGTCAGTGGGTGATTGAGGTGAGATTTTATTATGCTGGTGATATTTTGTTACCTAAGTGTTGTTATGACGGAGCCAATGGGCTATCGAGGTGGGATTATGATATGAATTATTTGCTTATAATTCAATTAATTATATTATTTATTTAATTATATTTAATTTAATATATGATTCAGCACAACAATCTCGATTCTTTTGGTTTTATTTATTGATTTATGTTTTAGGCTACGATATCTTACTAAGCCATGTTAGCTCATTCTTGCTTTTATTTTTATTTTCAAGCCCAGGGAAAGGTAAGGAGCAAGCTGAGTAGTTTGGATAGTACGCTCAGCTCGCTCCGATTTGTGTTGTAGGTATGTTTTAATTAGTTTTGACTAGCTTTTGCATGCTTGACTTTTATTTTGTTGAGCTCTCTATTACAAAGTACTGTTGTATATGGATTTCAAATTATATATTTTGAATGACATATAGAAAATCATATTGAAATTTAATAGTCTTTCGCTTTATATTGCATTTAATAATGGCTTTGTGTAGTATATAAATTGAAAGCTTTGTTTTAGTATTTCTCCAATCATATCTTGGGGTTAGTATTGCCACAATCGTATAGGGTATGACCTGTGTGATATTGGTTCATATTGGATCAGGTTGTGATAGGTAAACTGTTATGACCAGGACCTTCTGATAGGATGGTCTTGCCTCCAAATGACACTATTAAATTACGGTCATGATCAGAGCCTATATGCTCCCCAACGACTTCAAATCTTTGAGCAATAAATCAATAATGTATGATAGATAGGGCATAAATCCATCTGTTAGTTAAGGTAGCTTCAAATATGTCCTTTTAGGAAAATATTCACCAAAGGTCTACAAGGTACCCTTGGACAAAGCAACCCATGAATATCGACAATGATCTTTCTGTCAAGTTGGGTCGTCTACTTCCTCTGACAAAGTAGACTAGGGATTATGATGACTCGGGGAGATGGAGACATTGGATATTGATCTGGTTTATCATCACTTTCCCCACCATCCGCTTTAAGTGCAAGGTGGAGAATTTATAATTTTAAATATTAAATTTTCAAATACCTAAATCTGCTGGTAGCATGCACCATATATTATGTATCTCTTTGACGACTAGCCTTAATCGAAAATTCTCTCAAGCTAATCGGTGGAACAATTATTTATAGGGGCTTGCGCCTATAGGAAATCTGAACTCACATCATAAAGTCCTCACAACATGGGCGAATTATTACATCCAGTCACCTGACAGAGAGCTATATCCGAATTTCTCTCTGTCTACAGTAAAATCGCAGTCAAAGCGTAATTGCTACAGTAACAGCGCTTTACTGTAGATAGAGAGAAATCTGGATGTATTTCTTTGTCAAGTGACTGGACTTAATAATTTGCCCACAAAATGAGGGTGAAATCTCTGGGTAATGTCTTGTTTACAACCCAATTAGCCTTATGAAAATTTGTCTCGAAACATACCAATTAAAACTCTCCTCTACAACCTGAAAAAAGAAAGAGGACGCAGGGAGGTTGGAGCACGAACATTTAGAGCCCACAGTGCTGATCTTCCAAAATATATGCTCAGAATCAATTAAGATGGAAAATCACAATTTATGCTACAGAGCATTAACCTAAGCTAATTTTACCAAAAAAGAGAGGAGAATTTCTGAAATGTTAACTACAAGAGATTTTACACTTATTAAGTTTCCAAACGACTTACACAGTCTACGTACTCTCACCAAAATTTCTGTTACAAACGAATGAAATTAATATACATAAATTAAAACAAAAGAGAATTGGAAAGACGCCACATGTTCTTCTCTTTAGTTCCTCAAATTTCCTCTTTTTACAGTCTTCTTGAGATTCACAGAACTATCACCAATTGTTTAACTTCAGTGTAGAAATATTTCCATCAATTTATTCGTTCTGATATCCTCTCTGCAGAGTATTCTGAGCCTCTTCTTCTATTTCATCAAAATCCCCAATTTCAAACTGCGGCAATGTGTTCTGCAGAGGTTCACTGTACCACTGTTGGCTTTGCTCAGCCATATTCATATCTGAAAGATTAAAATACCATTAGAATTTTATGCAATGCGTTCATAGCATAACAAAGAAGAAAAAAATTCAATTTGTATTACTTTCAACTAGATGAACACTTCCGAAGCCATCAAAATTCTCTTCCACCATATCCCAATGTTCATATGCTTCTCGAACCATTTGCTGCACAAAATCCTGAACAAAAAATAAAATCTTTATTTATATATAAATTTGAAAGATTATCAATTTGATTACAAAAAAAAACAATATTCACTTAATACAACTAGTTGTATATATAGTTTGATCAATACTTACTCTTTGGGATTTGTTGAGTTGCTGAGGAGATAAAGTAGAATTTTGTGCAACTATTCCTTTGAGTTCACATATAGGGCTTAAGAGAAGATTTAGCTGAGATCCTCTGTACAGATAAGTATTTTGGCCCAAAGTGCAAGTCCTTGCGTGAGATACTGTTACCTCCCACACGCGATCAGACATCCCCGTTCCAAGCATCTGTTGCTTGTCAAAATCAAGTGGTTATATTAATTAAGCTATATTAAACTAAAGTTCTAATTTTCAATGTATCTTACCTTTCTGAGGCGATTGGGATCCACGGAGAGTAATTTAAGGAAGTCTTGAACAGTATAAATGGACTCAGCAGCAAGTCTTTTGTGAAAAGTTCCATCTTTCCCTATCTTCTCCAGTCTCCAGACTTCATCAGTAAGAGAGGGAGGATAATGCTTCTTATATGCTGTAAAAGGTAAATCATCATTAATTTGCGGTTAGTAAGGGCACACATAGGATTCAATCAATATATGGATCAAAATTTCAATTTCTAAAGAGTAAGGCTTCGTTTGGTTATTTTGTACCTTCCCTAAGAAGTAGTTCTAAAATCGTTGTTTGAGAAAACGGAATTTTCTAATGGAGAAGTTTATATAGAAAGCTTATGCAAACAGTACAAAATTATAGTTATCTAAAAATCATTTCTCAAAAGTGGCGCATACAAACAACAACTAAAGAAAGTTTCTTCCGTTTCGAAACTGAAAAGGCGAAATTAAGTCGTTTCAAACGAGGCCTAAGTTCTATGCTTTTTTAGGGACCAATAATGTCAAAATTGCATGTTGCTAATTAGCCTATACTTAATTCAAATTGGTGAGAACAAATAAAACATAATGAAGTATCACTTACAAATATTATGTTGTCTCCATTAAAATTTTTAAGCTCAAATCATAATCCTAATTTCTCACGCTTATTACATAATGATGTCTCCTCTCCTTTTATAATATAAAGAGATAATTATACGAGCATCATGAAAATCTTACTTATTTACAAAACTAACATCATGTCATTTATTTGAACTACTAAACTCATGTTTTCACATGCATCAAAATCAATTTGTTGAGAATTTGGCCAAAAATTAGTTAGGCTCTATGACAAAATAGTACATATAGATAACTAATTATAGATAAAACTGGTAGAATTGTAATACTTTATTCCAATTTCATTCAATGAAAACAGCCAACATGTCAAATCAAACTGATTAGGATGAACAAGCATATTTTTACTTTATTAGCTGATTAGGATGATCAGAAAATAAATAAATAAATATATTTTCAAACATGTAAAAATATAGACTTTACCAAAGTAAATAATATAATATATTAGAGTCTGATAAACTTACATTCTCCTCTATGATCTTTAACCATGAAACGGTCAGTCATGGCTTCCATAATCCGAGGTCCTTCATAACTACTTGCAATTACTCTTACACCAATCCGAAAATGCCTGCTCTTAATCCAGCTTGAATTATCTGTAATTATAAGCTCAAATATACTGCAGCAACAACAGTTATCTTTCATAGTGAGATTAGTTTCTCCAATAATTAATGGTCTCTTCCCATTTCTTTCCTTAACTATATGCTTATCAAACTCTAAACCGGTCCAGTTTTCTTGACCTTCAGCAGGAAAACAGCCATCAATTACTACTACTTCCAGCTTTAGTGGTGAAGAGAGGGTGAGAGGACTCTGGAGACCATTTTTTCTGTCTATTAGCAGTACTTGGAGAGGAGTTCCATCTACAGTTTCAATCTTTTTTCCTGTATATATAGGAAGAGAGAGTTGCTTTTGGAATATGAGCTGTAAGCTTGATGCTTCTATTTCTTGTATTTGAGCCTGGGAAGGCCTGAAATGTTAAGAAAAAAGAAAAAAAAAAAAAATTATTACTATTTTTGGGTACTAAACAAATAAAATGATACTTCTGCGTGTCTGTGCATATGTTTCTTTCATTTTTTTTTAAGAAATTAAACGGTGATGATAGCTTCACCATTACTTATAACATGTTGCTTATATGTCTTTATCAGTTCAATTAATCAAACATTAATCATTACATATCATCTCCATACACAGTATACCTTTGTAGAAATATAAGAAGATATAACTTTGTAATTAATTGCATGAACCATCATCCATCAATCTCTGTGAGGCTAGCTATTCAAATAAAAGGATGGTTTGCATATTCATTTAAGGAATTTTATTCACTGATTTGATGCTGAGTACATACCTTTGAATAAAACCTGTTCTTTGAACAAGTATTCGCTCCAACTCCTCTTGCACCTGAATCGCCATGTAAAAATTGTAATATAAGGAAAATATGATAATTAATTTTAATGACAAGCATATGAGTACTATGGGATTTATTTAATAGACATGCGCGCATACCACTGTACGAAGCAACGGTTCCATGGCCATAAACAAGTTCTGTATGTTCTTAGCCATCATTACTTCCTTAATCACACTACAAAAAAAAAATAATGAAATAACGTTAGAAAACTCGTTTTCTAATTAGCCCTCTCCTAAAACTTAATAAATTCACATAAAATAATATTATCAATAAAGAAATAGACATGTATGTACCAAGGTCTGTAATTAGTTCCTGAACAAAATCCTCGGAAAAACAAGCTAGAGGGACGGAGAGAGAGAGAGAGAGAGAGAGAGAGAGAGAGAGAGAGAGTACGTTGCAAAAGAAGGAAGGCGTCGCAGTCTCTTCTGATCTGGATGTTTAGGATCTTCTTCAGAACCATCATGAATTCTCTTAGCAGCCATCTTTTAACAAAATATTATTAAAAAGAAGATCAGAAATCAATTATGAAGACGAAGGTACGCACAGAAAGTAATAAGGAAGAAATTAAGAAGAAAACGAAGATGAAGAAGATGAAGAAGAAGATAAGGATTATATAGGAGTTTTTGAAGGTTTTTTGATACAAGTAAAGAACAAACGATCGTAGAGAGAGAGCGAGCTTGAATGGCTACTTATATATATAAAAATAAGCTGTAAAAAAACACGTATGAATGGTCTGCAATTGATAGAAATAGTAGCGAAATTGCGCTGAGGAAGAAGAGAAGTTTCACGGGGCTAACCTCCTAGTGTTAATTTTCAGCTCCACAAATTATTTATCTCCCTCTCTTTTTCATCCAATTCTCTTCATAATCTATTATACATAATGGATCCCAAAAAAAAATTATTTTTAATTTTACACAAAAATTTTAGTTTGGATTTAATTTGGTTCAACTTAGGCTTCATTCTAAACAGCTAGCTTTCTTACTTATTTTTTAAAGTAATTTTTTTAATATAATTTTTTTTTTAGCTATAAATTTTGTGCTAGAAAATTATTTTAAAAAACAATAAGAAAATTGTCCCAAGCGAAGCCTTAAATAACTAAAAAACATAGGTTTAATAGAAATTTGATTCAACTAAAATAACTGTGTTCATTCGAGATTAGATTGATACTAACTCATCATGATTTAGTGTTATCGTGTCGGGTCAAGTTAAGCTTGAACTTAGTTTGAGTCTAGTTATAATTGATTTTTTTAAATTATATCTCACTACATTTGAAAGTACATTTTAGTTTCTTTTAGGACAATTTTTTTATTACTTTATATTGCACTTTATAAAAATAAAAATTTCTTAAATGCAGAAAAGAATTGACAAAAACCCGTTCCAAATCCCTCAAAATAATCAAGATAAAAAATCGAGGTCTTCATCAAAATTTGATTATGTGATTATTTAAAATAATTAAAAAAAATTAATTAATTATCTATATTTTTTACTTAAATAAAATTTCATAAACTTTGACTGCGATCCATGGTTCAGGTCTAAAAGACAAGATTCCAAACACTAGCTTTAAGACTTGCCTAGCAATTACACCTAAGGGGTGGGCCCCACGCAAGCCGACCAACTCATATTTAAAAATAAATTAACTTTCTTATAGATTTTACTTAATGAAACGAATAATATTTGTTTCTATTTAAAAAATAAATAAAAATCATTTTCCAAAATTTTTTTGTTACTCTCAATGAACGAAATTGGCATATTTATATGTAGGGCTGCAAACGAGCCGAGCCGAGTCGAGTATGTGAGTGTTCATGTTTGTGTTCATTTAATATCAGCTTGTTCAAGTTTGGTTCATGTTTGTTCGAGCTTTATTGTTTGTGTTCATGTTTGGTTCATTTAAATTTATGAGTGTTCATGTTTGGTTCATGTTCAGTTCATGTTCGTTCATTTAGTGCTTATCGAGCTTGTTCGCGAACATATTTAACGAATTTTTTTTAACTATCAAACAAACACGTTTATGAACATATCTATGAACAAATATATTTATAATAAAAGCAATTCTCTATGTAACAAGCAATGATTATTTATATTTATTAATTTTATAGTCAAATATTAATTATTTTTATCGATCTTATTCACGAGTTCAAAATCGAACACGAATCGAGATTCTTATCGAGCTTAATGTCAAGCTTGTTCACGAACTTCAAATGATGTTGTTCACGAACATAAATGAGCTGAACGCATTAGTGTTCAAGTTTGTTTATTTAAGAATCGAGTATTTAAAATATTGTTCAAGTTTGTTTGTTTAGTTAATTAAACAATCACAAACGAGCTTTAGTCGAACCGAACAACGAGTAGCTCGTCAAATGTTTGGTTCGCTTGCAGCCCTATTTATATGTACGGGCTAGCCACATTTTTTATCTTTAAAATTTATTGTTCTCGAACATAATATGAATGATATTTTTTTTGCTGTCTTTTATTTCAAAATTAAAGGAAATTTATGTGCACAAATGCCAGCAAAATAAATATGAATGCCATCATTTTTTTAATAAAATTTGAATCGGAGATTAATTAGCCAAATATATGATTTGAAATTTTATATTTCATGTGTCATATTTGAAAGGAGTCCTGATGAAAAAATCATCAAGGCATGCTGATATAAATCAATATTCAGCTAATATAGAACAATCAAGTTTTCAAATAAATTTAGGCTAGGTTTGGTAAAGTCACAAGAGTTGAAGTGATGCTTTGGTAAAGTCATTTTATATAAACTATTTTATATTTCTTAATTTCTTAATTAAAGTCAATCAAGTAGCATTGAACATTGAATTAAACATATAAATAGAGGATCAAATTTTTAGCTCAACGCATGTTTATATTACATCAGTCTTGTATCTTGTAACATTAAAATTTAACAAGATTCCAAGAGCCTCTCTCTCTCTCTCTCAATATATTTTTCTCTCCCTTCATTTTTTAGGCTCAAATCTAATTGCTATTAAGGTCCTAATGTTTCCCATTCATGTTTTTGAATCTAACATCTTAAGTCGTGCACAGTTCAATTTTTGAACCTTTTAAATGGTTCTATACCTCGTCACTATATGTGTCACTAAATGCCTTCTCAAGTCAAAGAAATATCATTTCTAAAAATCCTTCTAGTTCTCAAGGCTTTAATCTTATTTATTGGAGTGAGTTAATCCAATAGTAATTGAGCATTCATTGATGCCTTTAATTCATAATCATTATGATAGTTAGGTTCTTCATCCAAGAAATAATGTTCTTCCTAACTAAGATTCCTACCACCAATCATAAAGCCCTGTAATCACAACACACGAACTATGACTCATGGTTTAAGAGTTTCTTAGTTCTAGAGAATATAATGCACAAGCTTAACCTCCATAAAAGCTCATTTAATGACTATGGGAAGGACACACACAAGCCCTCAAACTTTGAAGTTGACAAAACTATGCTACTTGAAGCCTTTGTTTTCTAACCCATCCTAGTTTTGTATACATTATAAATAATTGTAACACTAAATAATAATAATAAAAGGGTTTAATTATCATTCATGTTTTAGTGGACATTGATCAACACAACCAGACTACTTTAATTCTTCTACTCTTCACTCTATGTTATTCACTCTTCACTTTTGCCTCATTTTGTTTTCTGCTTTGACTATCTGATTGAGTAATTTTGATTATATAATAATTATTTTATTTATCTTCTAAAAATATTGTGTAAACATTTTTAATGATCTTAGGTAACTATCAATTTTTTGTTAAAATTTGACACCATTAGTAATAAGTATACAATATACCATTATGAAAGAATATTCATTGCAGACAAAACTCTGAACCCAAACAATTAGAAACACTTGACCTCTATGGAAAACCACTAGAAACACATCCTTAATTTTTCCTATACTCTAAAACATTCTCTCTAACCACATTGCACCATCATTAAATAAGAGTGTTCATTCTCTTCAATATCCCCAAGGTGGGGAAAATATTATATAGTGGTTTCCTTAGCACTTATGTTCCATGGGTTATCACCATTAATATTTAGGGTAGATTAGAAAGTTAATTATAATTAACTGGGATCATTATGTGGGGTCCCATTAGCCCTATGTTAGGTAAAATTCAAAGAAGTATGTCCAGTTTGCCTAAGTTTTGATCTAATTCAAACATAAGTCAAAACTTAACAAAACATGGGTATAAGGTAGCCTAAGGTGTGTGCCATCCTAGATAACAAGTATATAGGAAAGTTGATTAGTCCAATATAAATTACATAGGCAGGCTAAGGGATATGTCTATGGTTTGGTGAATCTAACTCTAGGCTTGGCTAAACTATAATTGATTAGGGTTGAGGGGATTGGTTAAAAGAATGATCATGTGATCCACTAGGGCCTAATAAGAACACAACTACCTAAGGATGTGCTTGGGGCAAGATTTGAGCCTAAGGGTGGATAGTCCACTTTCAAGAAATCACTATTCATAGATCCCTAAGTTTAGGGTGATATTATATTATGTTATAATCATTTTTAAATACAAACATAATCAAAATCTCATTTTATATTACATAAGTATTTTCTCTCTAAGGATTATATTTTAAGTCGAACATTAGATACATCTAGTCATTTTAGATATTAGATAGGGATTCCTTATTGAAGTTATAGTCTAGGTCAAGCTCTTAACTATAATCATTCTTAATATTGAATAAAGATATTCCTTAAGGTTATGGTATGGGTTGGGCTCTTGTCCATGAAAATCATTCTTTATACTTGGTAATTGTGTATTTCTTATATTGTATTCTAAGTTAGATTCTTATAAACCATATCATGCTTAACACTACAACATATATATCCTCCTTAAGTTGTGCTCTATGTTAAATCCCCAGCAATCAAAACCATTCTTATGGGTGAGCAAGCATTTATACTTGAGGATATATTCAAGCCCCATTATTAACCTCTTAAAAAAAATCCAACATTATGGTCATGTAGTCACCCAATGACCTAATACCCAATGCATGTCATATAACAATCCCAATTTTAATTTTTCTAAATTTTAAGAAACTTGGTTGAGTGAGCAATGCATCACCAAGCTCTCTAATTTTTTTGAGTTGAGAGAGCTCAGCTGCACTAGGGTATGGAGCAATGTGATACTAAGTCTAAAATTTTATTTTTTTAAAATAAAATATCCAAAACTATTCACTTAAAATCCCTCACCCACCACCACCTCTCTTTCCCCATTCCTTTCTTTGACTTGGTTATATGCATTAGTTTAATATTGATCTATTCTAACAAGTATTTTGGCATAACACATACAAGCATACTAACGAGCACAATGTATAGATTTATATATTAGATTCATTACATATGATGTTTATTTGATGCCTGTAATTATGCTTTATATAATGTAAAATATGTGTAAAAGAGAGAAAGATTGCTGAAAATGATTGACTGATTCACGTTAGTTGGAGATATGTTATCCTATAT